CCAATCCACCCTGGGTGCGCACTCACACTAGAGAGCCTGGGGCACTGCTCAGTCCATGAGGAAGGACCGCTCACCATTGCCACATTGAAGAGGAAGGGCAATATAATAAAATATATATGTTTTAGGATGGAAGCACCATTATGGTGGCCACACCACATAAAAATCTGATTGAACAATTCTTCACAGTATCAGATAATATGATCAAATCTATGAATTATTGAAAAGACATGAATTATTGAAATAATTCTGGAAAGTAGCTAGACTGAGCGATTCATTAAGTGTATGACACATCAAACATACTTTTCGATCTTCCAATTGTATTTTTCTCCTGGACAGTAAATCTTGCAACAGTACGATCACATATAAATTAATTTTTTTGAGGGCCACCATAGACTAGATTAGCACTAGGGACCACACATCACAGGGGAGCCTTGATGGGGCAGTTTGGCTTCCAAATATTTTTGAAAATGTATGCAAATTCTGTTTGGGGCTGCTGCTTTGCTGGTATGAGTGCTGGGAAATGTGATATACACTATATTGCCAAAAGTGGCCATGGAGGTGACTAGAACATCTGAATCCAATTTGGAGGGGTGGATTCAGGTGATCCAATCACCTCCATGGCCACACGTGTATAAAATCAAGCACATAGGCATGCTGACTGCACATAGGCATGCTTTTTGCTTCTATAAACGAAAGAATTGGTCGCTCTCAGGAGCTCAGTGAATTCAAGCGTGGTACCATGATAGGTTGCCACCTGTGCAATAAGTCCATCCGTGAAACTTCCTTATTACTAAATATTCAATTGTTAGTGGTATTATAACAAAGTGGTAGGCCACATAACATGACAGAGCAGGGCCAGCACATGCTGAAATGCTCAATGCGCAGAAGTCACCAACTGTCTGCAGAGTCAATAGCTAAAGACCTCCAAACTTTGTGTGGCCTTCACATTAGCACAACAGTGCGTAGAAAGCTCCATGGAATGGGTTTCCATGGCTGAGCAGCTGCATCCAAGCCTTATATCACCAAGTTCAATGCAAAGTGTTGGATGCATTGGTGTAAAGCACACCGCCACTAGAGCAGTGGAGACGTGTTTTCTGGAGTGACGAATCACACTTCTCTGTCTGGCAATCCGATGGACGTGTCTGGGTTTGGCAGTTGCCAGGAGAACGGTACTTGCCTGATTGCATTGTGCCAAGTGTAAAGTTTGGTGGAGGGGGATTATGGTGTGGGGCTGTTTTTCAGGGGTTGGGCTTTGCCCCTTAGTTCCAGTGAAGGGAACTCTTAAGGCGTCAGCATACCAAGACATTTTGAACAATTTCATACTCCCAACTTTGTGGGAACAGTTTGCGGATGGCCCCATCCTGGTCCAACATGACTGCCCACCAGTACACAAAGCAAGGTCCATAAAGACATGGATGAGCGAGTTGGGGGTGAAGGAACTTGACTGGCCTGCACAGAGCCCTGACCTCAACCCGATAGAACACCTTTGGATGAATTAGAGTGGAGACTGAGCCAGGCCTTTCCGTCCGACATCAGTGCCTGACCTCACAAATGTGCTTCTGGAAGAATGGTCAAACATTCCCATAGACACACTCCTAAACCTTGTGGACAGCCTTCCCACAAGAGTTGAAGCGGTTATAACTCAAAAGGGTGGGCCAACTCAATATTGAACCCTACGGACTAAGACTGGGATGCCATCAAAGTTCATGTGCATGTAAAGGCAGGCGTCCCAATATTTTTGGCAATTTAGTGTGTGTATATATTTATTATGTTTTTTGTTTTTCAATTCATCTGCAAGGGCTCCAGGGAGGAACTTATCTGGTATAGGGGTCAAGGGATTGGGTAGCTGGAGTTCAGCTTTAATTCTTACAATGTGCTTTTGGAGGCAGCATGCGGTCTGCTTCATATGAAGAACTACTTTACTGCTAGATTGACCACCAGACATGAGAAAGGAGAAATGGTTTTACGTTTCCTGAGCAAGCCGTCTGGCTCTGATCCCACCTTTTTGTGCACACTTCCCCTTATAGTTCTCTTGCGGAATGTAGCCACAAATGTCTGCAGGTTGGCAATAGGGGAAATCAAAAATGAAATAAACTACAACAATGTTGAGACTGTGTACAGCCCGTTATAAGTTGCACTTATTGTAGCAAAAACATGTAAGTCCTGCATCTGACCAACATCAGTTTTGGTTGGAGTGGCCCTTTTAAAACCTAGAGAACATAGTCTATAATAGTCACATTTCAGTTTATATTAGGAAAAGGTTATATTGTAATGTAATATAAGGCTGTAGAAACTTACCAGAAGCTTGGTGGGATCTCTGAAGGTGTGGATCCTGGCTAGCCAAGGTAAGGAGAAATACTGACACTGTTGTATGAGGATAATGACTTTATTAAAGACTTCACAAGGGTAATCAAACTACATGAATAATAACACAACAAGGAGAACCTTCTACTATGATCTGTTAGCTACACACATGAAGGTCCTGTGGATACTGCTGGATTACACAATGGGTCTTTGAAACAGTGCACATTGACTTTCCTTGGTGTAGGCTTAGGGAGTCTACAACCTCTGGTAAGTTTGATCCCTGGTGGGGACAGGGGTGGTCACACAGACTGGAGGAGTCTGGAGTGGAATTGCACAGAGCACTAATCACTATAGGATTTACAGCACAATGTATGCACTTTAGTTTTGCACTGGTAACAGCAGTTGTGGACTGGAACAGCACTTTGCACTGGCTAAGCACTTTTTTTTAATCAATTCAATTTGTGTATCAACATTTGAATGGGAATTTGGTACCTAGGCAAGAGGGTCTTCTACCCTCCCAAAATTTTGGGTTCTTCCTCTTCTGCTCTCTTTTCACCAGGGTTTGGCTCAGCTTTCTCTCCCATTATTCTATTTTGGGTACGACAATTCTGCATAATTACATATATAATTTTGCTTCAAATTCCTTCCTTCCTACTCCGCTATCACTGCAGCCCAACACAAAATCATAAACTTACTTAAAATGCCTGGTTCATGTCATCGGTTTTTGGCAGCATCTGTATTTGTGAGCATTATTTTCAACAATTAAGCACACAAAGGGCAAAAATTAGAACCAAAATATCTGATGAGCACCTTGAGAATTGCTACCACATTCAAAAGTTTTTTCAAACTTCAAATGTACTGTCATGTGATTTACACTGAGGAGAGGCTTCCATCTAGCCACTTGGCCATAAAGCCCAGATTGGTGGAGGGCAGTGATGGTTGTCCTTCTGGTACTTTGTCCCATCTCCACACAGGATCTCTGGAGCTCAGTCAGTGGCCATCCGGTTCTGGGTTACCTCTCTTAAGAAGGCCCTTCTCCGCCCCATTGTGCAGTTTTGCCGGGCGTCCTGGTTGTGCCAAACGTCTACCATTTGAGAATTGCGAAGGCCACTGTGCTCTTGGGAACCTTCACTGCAGCAGAATTTTTTTGTAACCTTCTCCAGATCTGTGCCTTGCAATAATCCTGTCTCTGAGCAATCCCTTTGACCTCAATATTACTTTTGTTCTGATACAGTATGCATGTAAGCTCTGAGGCCTTTTATAGAGAGGTATATGCCTTTCCAAATCATGTCCAATCAACTTAATTTACCACAGGTGGACTCCTATGAAGGTGTAGAAACATCTCAGCAACAATCAAGACAAATGGATGGTACCTGAGCAAAATTTCAAATGTTGTTGCAAAGGGTCTGAACAGGGGCAGACTGACAACTCATGGGGCCCCCGGGCAATTGGGGATCATGGGGCCCCTGTGTCATTGCCCACACTCAAAACACACCCAAAAAAGCCTATAAAAAAGGTACCAGGGGCATTTTATGGGGCACCCTACTGACACCAGGCCCTTGGGCAGTGCCCGAGTGCTCGAATAGTCAGTCCGCCCCTGGGTCTGAATACTTATGCCAATGTGATATTTCAGTTTTTCTCTTTGCAAACCATTTCTAAAAATCTGTTTTCACTTTGTCATTACAGGGTACTGAGTGTAGATTAAGGAGAACAAAAATGAATTTAAACAACTGTAATATCAGACTGCAACATAACAAAATTGAAAAATTGAAGGAAATCTGAATACTTTCTGAATGCACTGTACCTCTTTAGATCCAGTCTGTCTGGACAGTATAGTCACCTGCTGACTAGGGGCCATTCACAGGCAGCTTAAAGAGGGACTACACTGTATATGAGCACCACAAACCAAAACCGCTATTTAATTCCTTTTTAATATTCAAAGCAATCCCCCACGTCTCCATGATTTATTTTGCTGAAAAACCACTTAGAAAAACACCACCCTAGCGTTTCTGGCTGTGGCTATATTGAGTAGGGCAGATGATTCATGTAGCATTTACTTCCTGGAATCCATCTGCCCTTGGTTCAGCCAGGCAGCCAGGAGGGTGTGTTTAGTTGAGAAAAAACCCTCCTCCCTTCCTGAAGACTCCTTGGATGTATGTCATCATTTGCCTAGGAAGGAAACCAGGAAATATCAGAAGAAATTTAAAAAACAGTTTAAAACAAGTGAAAATATTATACTTTCCTATCTATTTACCAATGCTAGCAGCATAAGAATTCAAAAAATAGTGTTGAATGAGAGAGCGAAGTTCCATTTTAACTCTTCAATAAGACACAGAAGTTGAATCCAACACAATTTTACTTCAGCTAATTGCAGTACAGAGGATGTTTTTTTCAGTTGACTGACTGAGATAACAAAAAAGAAATGGGGGAGGGTCTAGTTAGACTTCACTAACTAGCACTAATCAGCAAGGGAGGACAGAAGGAGAAACCAAAAGCACACAGTAACTAAGTTGTAGTGGCCCAAAACCTCCACTAAATGCCACATAATATGAATACAACACACAATAACAACCCGATGCAGATCAATACAATACATAAATACAAGAGTGGTCTTAGACCTATTCCTTTGAAATTCTCCCCTTAGATACCATGGGCTTGCTATCCACCCTCACTATTAAGTCATCCTTTGGTAGAGGTCACTCTTGCAGTTTTCCACAGGGTGGCAAAGCAGAATGGTATCTCCTCCTCAAAGTGTCACTAAACCCCAGACCCTGCATTCACTATATCTGGTCTCCCCAAACCCTGCATTCACTATATCTGGTCTCCCCAAACCCTGCATTCACTATATCTGGTCTCCTCGGACCCTGCTTTCACTATATCTGGTCTCCTCGGACCCTGCATTCACTATATCTGGTCTCCTCGGACCCTGCATTCACTATATCTGGTCTCCTCGGACCCTGCATTCACTATATCTGGTCTCCTCGGACCCTGCATTCACTATATCTGGTCTCCACGGACCCTGCTTTCACTATATCTGGTCTCCACGGACCCTGCTTTCACTATATCTGGTCTCCCCGGACCCTGCATTCACTATATCTGATCTCCCCGGACCCTGCATTCACTATATCTGGTCTCCCCGAACCCTGCATTCACTATATCTGGTCTCCCCGGACCCTGCATTCACTATATCTGGTCTCCCAGGACCCTGCTTTCACTATATCTGGTCTCCCACAGTACACAGAACATGGAAATGCAATTATTTTAGAAAATATAAACTGCTAAATACATTTTCTCATCAGCAGTTAGAGCAGTCTTGTGATTTCTATCAGTGTCCAGCAGAGCACTGGTTAAAGCTTGTAGGAGGCATTTTCATTCTCCTGTAGGAGAAACATCCTTTTTACACAATGAAGAGGATTAACCCCTTAGGTTCCTCAGTGAGTAGAGCAAGCATGCTTTACAGCATATACAGACTGATTTTACGGTTGTGGGTTTAGTAACGCATTCATGTCTGGTGCACTTTGAAAGATAGGATTAGCTGGTGAATACCTATCTCCTAGTGAGGTTTTGCTACTTTTTAGCATATGCAGAACCATCTTCTACAATTAGAAGATGCAGTGGGATTTTTTGGTTGACTAGGGTACTAAAGATGGCTTGTCCCAGTCCTCTCTGACCATTATCTCCCCCTTTTCCAGTAACCCCTTTGACAACAAGCTGGAGTTAAAAAATAATGTCAAACACAGTATAACTGGAGCCTCAAGGCAACACCACTGTCACATACCTGGTGGGAGAGGCCAATGGAGAGAGGGCTTCCCTTGCCGCTAAGTTCCAGACTCCCCTGAGAGTGGGACAGCGGGCATCAGGCCCAAAGTGGCACAGGTTGCCTGTAGGAGTGCTTGTTGGTGGTCCACCCAGGAGCACTGAGATGAGGTCTGCAGACAGGTGGCGCCTGTGCGAGGTATGCAAGCCCTTCCGGGGAACAAAGGATTACTGGATAGCCAGTTCAAAGCCAAGGTCCGGTACTGGGTGGAGATCAGAGCAGACATAGTCAGATGGGATAGCCGAAGTCATACACACAGTAGCAAGAGAGAATATCCGTTTGCCAAGCCGAGGTCGGGACAGGGTTTAAGCAGAGAAGATAGGTCCAGGAGCCAGACCACTGCTGCCGCCCCATCACGATTCCTCTCGCTACCAGATGTTTTCGGCACACTGCTGGAATGGACATCCAGGGCCGGACGGAAGGAAACACCAGGGACACCATCCGCTCCAGGTAACTGGCCGGCTCCCGCCGACACCACACTCCCACGCTGAGCAACCCGCATATGGGATGACGGGGGTGGCCAATCGCCGGTCCCGCAATGTGGATGCAGAGGGAGGGGGGAGGCTGGAGGAACCGTCAGACTCTCCCCCAGGGGGTCCCGCTGTACCGAAAGCCTAGCCGAGGGGTGCTTCGGTGCAGGTCCCGGAGGGTCTCTCAAAAGTACTTTTGGAGGGGCTCCTATGGCGGTGCTGGACCCAGGGGGTCACATCAGGCCTCAAGTTCCCTGGAGGCCTTGGCCTCCAAGCACACGGGGCACCAGGGGGGGGGAAGCAGGCTCCCCCCGCCCGACTCCTCCCAGCAGCTCTGAGCCCCGGGAATGCAGCCAGTACCTTTCTCAGCAGCTGCCCTAAGCTGAGAAAGTACGCTCTCCAAATCGCCCATGATGTGGCCCCAGAAGCCAAAACCAGGAGGGAGAGGACTGTCATGAAGTTTTCCCTGGTTAATCTTCCTCCCGTCTGAAGACCACCCCATGTGGCTCTACTGGCTCCCACCTTAACCATCACTTAGAATCCCCCCCATCATGCTTTCCTACAAACTAATAGGAATCTCAGCTCCAAACCCTTGTCATGCCAACACTTTGTTCACGTTTTCCTTCTTCTACGCTGGGCCTCCCTTTCTCTTCTTTCTTTCTTTACTGCTTATTGACTTTACTTTTTAATGACAAGAGAATGTCTGCTGCCTCTGAAGTCTCAGCGTTAGCATGGATATAAACCTCCTACTCTATGTTCAGTCAATAATCCATCCATACAGTGCGTTAAAAAAAATTCATACCTCTTGAAATTTTCCACATTTTGTCATGTCACAACCAAAAACGTAAATGTATTTTTTGGGATTTTATGTGATAGACCAACACAAAGTAACAAACAAGATATACCTGTGGTCAAATCCCAATAGCTAGTACATGCATTTATCTATCAGGTGCTAAAGGGGTGTAACCACATATTAACACTAGAAATTCTGAAGGGCCCTCTGCACACTGGTATATACCCTTTCCAAAAGGCTTTGCAATAAAGAATAGGGATATTTGGTTCACACATATTGCAATAGATGTTTAAGGCGGCCAACTGCATCAAAGTAATCCCTCTATGGCCAGTCCTACTCTGCTCTGCCTACGCAAATGCTACTGTGGACACAATGCCAATATAGGGGGAAAGTGGGGGAGAGCTACCAGGTCTAGGTCTGGCTACTGACCCACAATACACACAAACAAGATATACCTGTGCTCAAATCCCAACAGCTAGTACATGCATTTATCACTATTTTGTATTGTAAAGTCTGCTGGAAAGGGTATATACCAGTGTGCAGAGAGTCCTTCAGAATTTCTAGACCAACTTTCAATGACATTCTAGCTGCAAGTCTTTTTGGGGATGTCTCTACCAGCTTTGCACATCTATAGAGGGACCCTTTTGCCTATTCTTCTTTGAAAAATAGCTCAAGCTCTATCAGATTGGATGGAGAGCATCTGTGAACAGCAATTTTCAAGTCTTCCCACAGATTCTCAATTGGATTTAGGTCTGGACTTTGACTGGGCCATTCTAACACATGAAAATGCTTTGATCCAAACCATTCCATTGTAGCTCTGGATGTATGTTTAGGGTTGTTGTCCTGCTGGAAGGTGAACCTCTGCCACAGTCTAACAGGTTTTTTTCTAAGATTGCCCTGTATTTGGCTCCATTTATCATCCCATCAACTCTGACCAGCCTCCCTGTCGATGCTGAAGAAAAGCATCCCCATAACATGATGCTGCCAGCACCATGTTTCACGGTGGGGATGGTGTGCTCAGGGTGATGTGCAATGATAGTTTTCTGCCACACATAGCGTTTTTTGTTTTTAGGCCAGAAAGTTCATTTTTGGTCTCCTCTGACCAGAGCCCCTTCTTCCACATGTTTTCTGTGTCCCCCACATGACTTCTCCCAAACTGTAAACAGAACTTCTTATGGCTTTCTTTCAATAATGGCTTTCTTCTTGCCTCTCTTCCATAAAGGCCAGATTTGTGCAGTACACGACTAATAGTTGTCCTGTGGACAGATTCTCCCACCTGAGCTGTGGATCTCTGCAGCTCCTCCAGGGTTACCATGGGTCTCTTGGCTGCTTCTCTGATTAATGCTCTCCATGCCCGGCCTGTCAGTTTAGGTGGACGGTCATGTCTTGGTAGGTTTGCAGTTGTGCCATACTCTTTCCAGTTGAGGATGATGGATTGAACAGTGCTCCGTGAGATGTTCAAAGCTTGGGAGATTTTTTTTTATAACCTAACCCTACTTTAACCACTTCCCATCCGGCCCATGTATATAAACGGCCGGACGGGAGCAGTGCAGGGGAGGGTGGCCGTTTATAAACAGCCTCCCCGCTCCCTGCTTGTGCGCACTCCCTGGGAGCGTGCAGCACCGCGATCCAGTGCCCGCTGTGTTCCCCAGACACAGTGGAACACCAATCGTTGTACGGGACCTCTGTGTGAGGTCCCGATCATGTGATCACTGGCTGGCCAATCAGATCACATGAAGAGTAGTAAGCAAGATGTCACTTCTGACACCATTGCTTACTACGTGTGAAATCTCTGAATGATCACAGAGGTCACATGGTACAAGGCTATTCACAACAGCCTTGTACCATGTGACAAGCTGTGACCAATCACAGCTCACACAGTATTTCTCAACTGCTGCAAGAGTAAAGCCAGAGAGGAGAAATTATTGCTTTTACAGCCTTTATGGGTGTAAAAGCAATCAGTGTGAAAAAAAAAAAAATAAAATCTTCATCACCCCCCACAAGTAGAACAGTGTCTCTATGGTGACAGTATGTAAAAAAAAAAAAAATATATATATATATATATATATATATATATTATATATATATATATATATATATATATATATATATATATATATATATATATATATATATAAATGAAAATTAAAAAAAAAAAAATTTAGAAAAATTATAATTTTTGGTTAACGAATTTGGGTTATTTTTTTTTTTTTACTAAAAAGATAACTGAATACAGTTTGGCCAAGATTTATAAGAAAGCTTATTTGCAAAATTTTATAAGATAAACACTTTCAAAATGTTTGGACTTTTTCATTTATATAGCAAAAATAAAATAAAAATCCCAGTGGAGAATAAATACCACCAAAATAAAGTTTTATATGTCTCAAAAAAATGCTAAAAATTCCATATGGGTACAGTGTTGCATGACCGCGCAAATGTCATTCAAAGTGTGATAGCACTGAAAGCTGAAAATTGTCCTGGACAGGAAGGGGATAAAAATGTCCAGACTTGAAGTGGGTTAAACTCTTCCACAACTTTATCCCTGACCTGGCTGGCGTGTTCCTTGGCCTTTATGATTCGGTTTGTTCACTAATGTACTCTAACAAACCTCTGAGGGCTTCACAGAACAGCTGTATTTATACGGAGATAACATTACACACAGGCGGACTCTAACTTATTATGAGGTGAATTCTGAAGGCAATTGGTTCCACTAGATTTTAGTTATGGGCATCAGAGTAAAGGGGGATGAATACAAATGCACACCACACTTTTCAGATATTTATTTGTAAAAAATTTTGAAAACAATGTATCATTTTCCTTCCACTTCACAATTATGTGCCACTTTGTGTTGGTCTATCACATGAAATCTTAACCACAAGCCTACAGGGCACTTATACCCCCTTCCTGCCCAGGCCAATTTTCAGCTTTCAGCGCTGTCACACTTTGAATGACAATTGCGCGGTGATGCAGCACTGTACCCATATGAAATTTTTATCATTTTTTTTGTGACAGATAGAGCTTTATTTTGGTGGTAATTAATCACCTCTGGGTTTTTTTTCTTAAACCAAAAACCACTGAAAATTTTGAAAAACAAAATTTTCTTAGTTTTTGTTATAAAATGTTGTAAATAAGTGATTTTTCTCCTTCA